AAACTCATTGTTCCAACACTGCTTTGCTGTGTTGTCTGCGTAGACTAGGCTTAGCTGAGCTACACAAAATTACAGTAAAATGGCAAACTGCACCATTAGTTTTTCTACCTTTGCTGTATCTCCTCAGAGGAGCATTAACCTTGAGCAAAAATGGTCAAGGACAGTGCCCAGGACCTGAGTTCAAGACCCAAGACCAGCACAAAAAAGAGGGGAGGGGATAATGTTGGACAGTAAAAAGAGAGCAGGACAAAGAAAATCTGTTCTATTTGTTTCATAAAATACATTATTTTCTTTTTTTTTTTTAATTGTGAAAATACCTTACAGAGGGGTTACAATTACATGGGCAAGATAATGAGTACATTTCTTATCAAGGATTGTTGCCTCCTCCTTTGTTTCCCCTTCCCATCCCTTCCCATCTCCCACCCCTCACCACCCCAGCCAAAGTTGTAAAGTTCGTTTTTCGATATAACGATTTGTACATCTCATTGTTGCAATGGGTCCACCTGTATCCCTATTTAAGCAATTTGCTTTTTCCCTTCCCCTCCTCAAATTATACCAACATCAAATACAATGAAAGCAGGGGTTATACCGTGGGGGAGGGACATACAAAGCAACAAAGAAATTATCTTATAAATATGTTAGAAACAATTGCATGAAAGAAAGAAACATTTGAATACTTATCTTGGGGTTCATTCCCCTAACTTCAACTTATCCAACCTTTTCTGCTTGTCTCAGATATATACTAGTTATTGCAAATAAGGGAAACCATGGGACCTATGTTTCTTTGGGCCTGGCTTACCTCACTTAAGATAATTTTTTCCAAGTCTTTCCATTTCCTAACAAATGGGGCGATGTCATTTTTTCTGATAGAGGCATAAAATTCCATTGTGTATATATACCACATTTTCTTGATCCATTCATCTACTGAGGGGCATCTGGGATGGTTCCATATCTTAGCTATGGTAAATAATGCTGCAATAAACATAGTCGTGCTGGTAGCTTTAGTGTGGTCTTGTTTGTGATCATTTGGGTAAATGCCCAAAAGTGGGATTGCTGGGTCATAGGGGAGCTCTATGTGGAGTCTTTTGAGGAACCTCCATACTACTTTCCAAAGTGGTTGAACGAGTTTACACTCCCACCAAAAATACAGTAAGGTTCCCTTCTGTCCACATCCCCTCCAGCATCTGTTGTTATTGGAGTTCTTGATTATAGATATTCTACCTAGGGTGAGGTGGTATCTCAATGTTGTTTTGATTTGCATTTCTTTTATGGCTAGAGAGGTTGAGCATTTCTTCATGTGTCTATTAGCCATCCTTCTTTTTAAAGAGAAGTTTCTCTTTAAGTCTTTAGCCCATTTATTTATTGGGTAGTTGTTTCTCTGAGAATTTGTTGTTGGGGGATTTAATTATTTGAGTTCCAGGTATATTTTAGATATGAGACCCTTGTCCACTGTATGGCTAGTGAAGATCTTCTCCCAATCCGTGGGCTTTCTATTGATCTTGCTAGCTATGTCCTTTGCCATGCAGAAGCTCTGCAATTTCATGCAATCCCATTTGTCCAACCTTTCTTTGATTTGTTGTGTTTCCGGGTCTCTATTAAGAAAATTTTGGCCTGCGCCAAGGAGACCTAGGGTTTCTCCTATTCCATCCTGTAATGTTTTCAGAGTGTCTGCTTTGACTCCGAGGTCTTTGATCCATTTGGAGTTGATTCTGGTGCAGGGTGATATATAAGGATAAAGCTTTAGTTTTCTACAAGTAGTTAACCAATTTTGCCAGCGCCATTTACCGAAGAGGCTGTCTTTCTTCCATTCTATTTTTCTAGCTCCCTTATCAAAGATTAGATGGCTATATGTCTGTAGGTTCATTTCTGGGTTTTCAATTCTAATCCATTGGTCCTGAGGTCTGTTCTTGTGCCAGTACCAAGCTGTTTTGATTACTATGGCTTTGTAGTAGAGTTTGAAATTTGGTATTGACATTCCTCCAGCACTGTTCTTTCTGTTAAGGATCATTTTTGCTATTCGGGGTCTTTTATTGTTCCATATGAATTTTTGGATTGCCTCTTCTATTTCCTTGATAAAATACATTATTTTCTTTTGTGTCATTTTTATTTTGTTGTTTTGAGATGGAGCTTGCTATGTTGCCTAGGTTGATCCCGAACTTCTGTGCTCAAGGGAAATTACCAAGAGCTCTGACTACAGTTGAAGTCTACTGCGCCCTTATTGTCATTTCTGATCAAAACATAAATGTGCGTACTTGTGGCATACAATGATATTTGAATAACATGCATTCATGGGTAATCACCAAGTCAGGATAAAACATGGAGTCAACACTTGATCCTCAATTTATTACTTGATGAGAACATCCAAAAATCTTTCTCCTATTTGTATGTTGTATTTTTTCTTGCTGAATTTTGAAATATATGATGCTTGTTTTTGTTTACTCCAGTCACCCTAGTGTATAGTAGGACACAGATATTATTCCTCCTGTCTGGGACTCACATCTCTCCAACCCTCACATCCACCACCTCTCCTTGACATCTAGCTCCACCTTTCTCTCTACTACACTCATCAAACCAAGATTTTTAGCTTCCATAGACAAATGAGATCACTTGTCTGTGCCTGGTTTATTTCACTTCACATAAGGCCCTCTGGGCTTGTCCATGCTTTTGTAAAGGAAGAGATTCATTGGGTATACGTACCACAACTTTTTTCAGTTCATCAGTAGTGGAGTTTTAGGTCGATATAGGTTGGCCCTAATGAATAATGCTGCAGTAATGTGAGAATAGTTATCTTTTCAAAATATTGGTTTCAATATATTGATTTCCTTTCCCAACAGTGGGATTTCTACTTCTATTTTTACTCCTCTGTGTGTGTGTGTGTGTGTGTGTGTGTGTGTGTGTGTGTGTGCGCGCGTGTCTGCAGATACTAGGGTTGAATTCCGCCTCCTGCTTTCACTTGGCTTTTTGCCCAAGATAGATCTTCTCCCATTTGAGCCATCTCTTATTGGAGATAAGCATCACATGAGTTTTTCTCTCCAGGCTGGTTCCAAACCCCCATCCTTAGATCTCAGCATAAGCCATGATCACCCAGCTATTTGCACTCTTGAAAGGAACTTCCATGCCATTTTTCATATTGGCTGTACAAATTTTACATTTGCACCGAGTCACACAGCCTTTTACAAAAAGTTGTTAGTCATCCCACTTCTGTTTTAGCATAAGATAGATAAAATCTGCTGAATTTGAGCTCTGTAAATGTCCTCACTTGGGAAATATATTAGACCAGATGATCTCTGAGGTCGATGTAATTCCAAGAATTAAAAGTTCAATTTCTCTATCTCCTGCAGCACAGTTCTGAATTCTGATTGTATTCTTTCCTTGTGGAGAAATCCTTGGTGACTCACAGCTGGCTGTAAAATCCAGGTTTGGGGGGGGGGGGGGACTTTAGGGACGGCAGTGGGGAGGAGGGGAAAACCTCAAATTCCTTCGACATGGCTTTCAGAACTTGGCCCTTTCCTATCTTTCCAGTCTTCCTTCTCTCCCTTCCCTTCCACAAGTCTACTCCTTCCTAACTGGGCCTCCCCTGCTTGCTCCTTGATCTGTTTCCTCTTCCCTGTGCTCTTGTTTGTTCTGCCCTCTCTTGTGGAAACACTCATTTTCATGTAAACATAACCCCTTTTACAACTCTACCCAGAGCAACCTCTTGCAGGATGGTCTCTTTTCTAAACTTCCCTTGGTGGTAAGGCTTCAGTCAACAGACAAGGCCTCGGGCTCTCAGTGTAGAATCACCTTTAGGCGTCTCTTACTTCCTCCAGACTTCTTGAAAGGACAGTTGCATACCTGGTAGCCTGTTTCCTAGTTCCTTGTCTATAAGGGATGCTGGTGGCAATCCTTAGAAGGCCAGTGACTGATTGATTGATTGATTGATGACTGATTGAGCAAGAAGCCCTTCCAGTGAGCACTGGATGCAGGAGACACAAGCATGATGACCTCTTGTTCTCCCTCAGTACCTAAATAATACCAGGGGCTGGGAAGGTGGCTCAGTGGTAGCGCACTAGCCTTGAGCTGAAGAGCTGAGGGACAGCGCTCAGGCCCAGAGTTCAGGCCCCATGACCGGACCCAAAACAATAATAATAATAATACCAAGAACAGGGATGAGCACTGTTTGTTAGAATTTATTAGACTTTGCCAGAGAACCATGCAGACATCCAGAAACAAAGAACAAAGAAAAGTTTTATTGCCTGTAAAGGGACCGGCAAGACCCCCTTCTCACAAGAGAGGAGTGAGAGGAAGCACCAGCTCTTGTCTGAGCTGACCTATATAACCTACTGGAGCTAGGAGGGGCTAGAAGGGGCTAGGAGGTGGCGATCTAGGTGTGGCCATGAGGACCAGAGGCTTCATCGTGGTGGACTAGGATGTATGGCTGCTGCCCACGTAGTAACTAAGGGCTCTGCAGCTGCCCAGACCTGAAGGTCACTCTAAGGGGCTCTTGCTGCCTTCTATGGTGGTCGCTGCCCCAGTGGAGTGCCATCCCAAGGTAGAGGGGGTTGGAGGCTGATTATTGACTGCCTTCGCAGCATGGGCCTAGTGTTGCCTAGGAAGGGAGCATGCCAAGCTGTGGAAGGGGGAAGGCGCGTGCTAGGCGGGGGGAAGGGCTAGAAAGAGCTTCTTTAGAAAAGGGACGGGAAGGCCACTCAGAAGATGGAGCAGCAGGACGGGACGGGAAACGGGTCTGGGCACCGCGTGGGCCTGGGCCGTGGCTTCTCGCCATCTGTCCATCAGCAGGTGTAGATGCAGCCAGCCCAGGAAGTCTGGGTAGGTGGTGGCCACCGGTGGGGCGGGGCGAGCGGAGCGGGCACACTGGGGCGGGACCAGGCGTGTCTAGGAGCCCAGGGTGGCCCCGTGGCCCCTGCGGCCGCAATCGCGTCTGGCCGCCCCACCTCGGCCTCTCTCCCCAGTAGGGCCCTGGCCTCTGCACTGAGCTCAGCCGCCATCCTCTCTTCCAGGCGACCAGGCCGACCCCTGCCGCTTCCTGGCCTGCGGGGAATCCGCCCAGTGCGTCTGGAACGCGTGGACCCAGGAGGCTGAGTGCCGCTGCCAGCTGGAGCAAGGGCTCGGGGATGCCCAGCGCTGCGCCCCTGCGGAGGGCGCCATCAGGTAGGCCACGCGTCCCAGCGTCCCCTTAGAACACAGGGCGCCAGCAACTCCCGCCTGTAACCCCGGCTCTGAAGCTCATCAGCCCATGGGTCTTGAGACCCTTATCTGCCATTAATCACCACAACACCCGAAGATGTGACCACTCAAGTGGTAGAGTGCCAGCCTTGAGCACAGAAGCTCAGAGTCTGCACCCAAGGCTCTGAGTCCAAGACTCAGGACCAGCACACACACACACACACACACACAGAGAAAAATTCATATGGTCCTCTAAGCCATAAGAGATAGTTTTGTGATTTCAAAGATTACGTACTATTTCTATATTAATATATGGTTAATTGTATAATGTAGAATGCATTATTTATTTGTTGATGCAAACATGTATCACTATACTTATGTATGATTTAGATGTATATTTAAATATAGAGCTAGCATATTGCAATTTAATTAATATATTTAATTATAACATCTATAATCATACATTAAAATATATTAAGAAACTATAGCAGTCTTGTTTAAGGCACTCCATTTCTTAGACATAAACATATATTAATACATACAGAGGTAATGTTTAAGAAATCCAGCAAAATAATATGATTGCAGTTTGTGCATGTTGTAGATGACAAAAATTACATCATGTTGTGGTTCAAAATTCATACGGTCTTGGGTTGGGATGGGATGGGAAAACTGGGAGACAGTGAGGGAAAAGGTGACATTGTCCAAACAGAAATGTACGCTTTTCCTGACTTATATACTGTAACCCCTCTGTACATCAGATTTATAGTAACAATTTTAATTTTTGCTTAAATCATACGGCCCCTTAAGTCTGTGGTTCCCGCAGCTTAGCCTCTGGGCAAACCCACAGGCCAGCCAGGCCAGCCCTGCTCTGCTCTGCCTCCACAGCTGCACACGGCCACCTCAAGGTCACCTTAGAAAACCCTGTTCTGGTCCTTGGGCTGTGCTTCTATGAGCCCAGTAGGAGAGGATGGGAGAATCTGGGTGGGAACACACCACTACTACCTTAATCACTGCAGAACTGTGAGGATCTTCTCCATTTGTAAGCATTATAACGTTCATCTTAAGAATGGTACAAAAGATGGAGAAGTCAGAGGTAAGCAAGAATCCTCTGCTATCATCCCCATTTGGTGGTTAGATTTTATAGAATTGGTTTGTAAGAATCCAAAATGGAATTAGAATGAGTTCTTGTCTTGTAGTCAGTGTGTGTGTGCACACACACACGTATGTGTGCACATGTGCCATTACTAGAGCTCAAACTCAGAGTCTAGGTGCTGTCCCTGAGCTTTTTCACTCAAAATGGAGCTCTACCACTTGAGTCACAACTCTACTTCTGGCTTTTTCCTGGTTCATTCAAGATTAGTGTCTCTTGGATATTTCTGACCCTCAGATCTCAGCCTCTTGAGTAGCCAGGATTACAGGCGTGAGCCACTTGTACTGGGCAGTTTATAGTCAGTTTTTGCTGTTCTTTTAACCTAGAATATTTCTTCCTGCCATTAAATATTTTGTGTAGCCTCAGTTGTAATGAGCGTCGCAGTCCATTCTCTAGAGCTGAGGATGGCATGCTCAGTTGAATCGGTCTTCACTGCAAGACAGGAAGTGCTAGGTGGAAAGGGGAAATGTGGAGGGGTACAGTTGGTTTCTGTGCACAACCAGACTTGGGGTGTGGGGAGGCCTAGAGCTAGAGAGCACAACACTGCGCTCTTCTCAAGCCCTCTGGCAGGTGAACCTGGACAGCATATGTTTGTGGGTTCTTCCATCAGATAGACAAGAGATGGAGCAAATGCCCCTCCTCAGACCTGTATACATTAGGGAATTCGTGTTAACAGGCATTTCAAATTAGTCAGGGGAATATGGACAAGTCAATGTGGCTAGAGTACAATTGGCCTTTCGTTTATTAAAAAATTCATTTCATATTAGAGAAAATCAATTCTACATCAAAGATCCAAATCTATCCAAACTATGAACATAATAATTTTTAATGTTTCTATAAATCTTGTCCTAAAAGGCCACCCTAACTATGACACCAACTCCCAGATATCAAGGTTTCTATGGAAAGAAATTGTCATGAATAAAGCTAACAATAATAAGACCAAAGAAAAATATTTGTAGTCTATACCATAGACAAAGATTGAACATCGGTAATAAAACCTTATATATCAATGAGACAAGAACCCTAATATTAAAATGAGCAACATAACCCAAAAGTGCAATGACAATGGCTCATGCCTATACTCCTAACTACTAGAGCAGGTGAGAGCTAGAGGATCACAGTTCCAAGCCAGCCCAGACAGAAAAATCTTCAAGACTCCATCTGCAATTAACCAGAAAAATGCCAGGCTAACGGCATGGCTCAGCAAGCCAAGCAAGAGCATTTTGAATTTAAATACCAGTACCAGAAGAAGAGGAGGAAGAGGAGGAGGAAGAGAAGGAGGAGGAGGAGGAAGAGAAGGAGGAGGAGGAGGGGAAGGGTGAAAGGAGGAAGGGGAGGGGGAGGAGGGGAGAGGAAGAAGAGGAAGAGGAAAAGATGGAGAAATCCAAATGTCTGATGAAATATAGAAGATATTCAGTCTCCCCATAACCAGAGAACTCAAAAAGAAAGAAAGAAAGAAAGAAAATATCCTTTGTCACTTGTGACTTTGCACAAAGAAGCTGGATAAAACCAACGTAGGCCATGGAAACTGGAGAGAACCACTTCTATCAAGCACTGCTGGTGGGAGGGAAAATTGTAACACCTACTACATTTTACATTTGACTCAGGCACTCTGCTTTTAGACAATGAGTCCTAAAACCTAGTTGCAACCAGGTGCCTATGGCTCCCTCCTCCAACCCTGAGATCTGAGATCTGAGGGTCACGGTTTGAAGCCAATCTAGGCAGGAAAGACCAGGAGGGTCTTACCTCCAATCAACCACCAAAATGCCCCAGAAGTGGGGCTGTGGCTCAAGTAGTAAAGCACTAGCCTCGACCGAAATGCAGCTCAGGGACAGCGCCTAGGCCCACACAAAATGCATCCCTCCCATCACTCCATGAGTGATTGTCTTGAATGAACTCAGTGATCCGGAGACACACAGCTCCCACTAGAGGGCAGAACACGCCGCTTCCTCAACTTGCCCAAAGCCATGATTTGGACTTGAGAAATTCAGATACACAGGAATGTTGATGCTCTTTAGACAAACCCAACAAACTTCTCTGGGTACCAGGCACCAGCAACCATGCGAGATGCTGGGTGGTGGGGGTCAGCTAAAAGAAATGGGGGGTAGGGAGAAGGGAGGGGGAAGAGGGAGGCTTATTTTATTTTCAGAGATGAGAGAAATTCCCAGAGAACCTCCATCTTGCCCTTTTAATTTCCTGATTCCATATTCCCTTCTAGAATGTTCGATGTGGAGCCCTATTCCCTCTTTCCATCACAAACCTCTGTGGCCCCCAGAAGGTTCCTCCACTTCAATGTGGGGGCACAGGTGGAGCACCGTGGGTGCTCAGAGGGTCCCAGGACCTGCTCCATGTCCATCAGTCATTCCAGTTCCTAAGTGGAGGCCATCGATTTTGCACCTGATCATTCATTACCTGAGAAGCAGCTAACATTGCCTAAAAGCAGAGTACCTGAGTCAAATGTAAAACGTAGTAGTAGCTGCTACTGACAAATTTCTCTGGGAAAGGAGTGTTACATTGTTACCAGCAATGTTTGATAGTAGTTTGATAGGAGTAGTTCTCTCCAGTTTCCATGGCCTACGCTAAGTTTATCCAGCTTCTTGGTCCACACTCACAGCCATGGATTCCATACTGGTTAAAGACTTCAGAAGTAGATGTACACACAACCTAGAGTTCTGCCCCTAAGTTGAGCCACATTGTCTCCCCATCCCTTGTTATAAGCTTCAAAGTCCTCATCTAATATAGTCGTAGGAATAAATTCAAAGGCTCCATGAGGGATAAATGAGATGACTCTCGATATAAACTGCTCAAACATTGGCACGAGTGGAGGTCTGGGTCCTTTGGCATACAGTAGACCTGGAAGGCAAAACAGATTCCCTGCCTGCCACTGAAACCAACACTCAGATGCAAATCTGATATAACCACAGTGCTGGAACAATGCAACAGCCTTCTCCAAAGAACCGTAAAGTTGGCTTCATTGTTCTTATTCATCTGAAAGGGAAGGAAAGGGAGAGCAGGATTGAGGGCTGGTGAGAGGCAGAGAGCAACTTCCATCAATGTAGTGATCTATCGTCCTGCTGCGAAGTTGGGGTCACTCATTACACACGTGCACGTGTGCGCGCGCACACACGCACACACATTTTATTTTCATTCTATTCTTTTTCACCATTCAATTATTTATGAATATACCCTCTACGTTTTTTCATCTCCTTCAGTTCAGATATTCCATACATGAATTCAGTGGTGCTGAGAACTTCAAAAAAAAAAAAAAAACTCCCAAGAATCAAGAAAAATTTCATGGTCAAAGGCCCCTTTTGCTGAGTTTTCCTTTTTCATCATTCTTATTACACCTTTGCAGAAAATTCAGTTCAGCCTACAACAGGGTAAATTGTTTCTGAGTTTTCCTCTTCTATAAATTTCCAATTTTTGTCCTAGAATCAAGTGAGCCTAATTAAATGTTCTGAAACAATATGTATAATAGTGAAACTTGTTTCCAAATTTGGGGAAACAAGTTTAAGTAAACGATTTTATAAAGCGGCATTTCCAAGGAGGTTTTAATAATAGGGAAGCATCTGCAATAACGTCAGCAAGGTTACAGGGTCACAGTCTGCAGCTGCAGGTGGGAAAGAGGCCGGGGAGAGGCACTGGTTGTTTCTAAGGAGCTGTTGCTAATTTTCTCTTGAGTCCTTGCTCTCCTGAATACCGGGAGTCTGAAGGAGAGGGAGAAAGGATTGGAGTTTGATATAGTTATAGTCTAGTCCTGTTTTGAATTTTATGTCTGATTAGTAATTTAAGCAACCATATTAGGGAGCTCAATCCTCCTGGAATGCCTATGCAGGTCCTGAGCTCCCTGTGGGAACATTTCAAGTCCCATTTTCCCCAACCCCTCTAGTACAGACGACTATGCTCCCTGGAATCTACTTCCCTGATATGCTGGAAGCTTCTGGGTCTTCCAACCAAGGCAAGTTAGGAACAAAAAATGATGTCCCAGGGCTGGGAAGGTGGCTCAGTGGTGGAGCACTTGCCTTGCATGCATGAGGCCCTGGGTTCGATTCCTCAGTACCACATAAGCAGAAAAAGCTGGAAGTGGTGCTGTGGCTCAAGTGGTAGAGCGGTAGCCTTAAGCTGAAGAGCTGAGGGACAGCGCCCAGGCCCCGAGTTCAGGCCCCACAACCGGACCCAAAAAAAATAAAAATAAAAATAATGTCCCTGTGGTGGGAGAGGGAGCAAGTAGCTTGTTACTCAGTTTCCTAAATCACACCCCTTTTTTTTCTCTCTCTGCCATCTTGGCATCAAGCACTGGGATTGGAAGATGATTTTCCTTCCTTTCCTCTTTTCTTAATATTATAGTGGACAGAATGTTGGGAGGAAAAAGGCAAGTTTTGGAAGATGATGGCAAAACAGTAGGGAACTTCCCCAGCTCTCTAACCAGAGAGTTGGGATCTTCACATGCACCCCCCCCCCCCCACCAAGAGATCAACAGCAAAGAACAGGTGAACAAGCGGAGAATCGCAGGAACTGAACAAACCTCATAACCTGTATACATCAGGATGGAAAACTGCAGAGATCCTTCTCCCATTCCCCACTCCCCCAGCCCCACTCCCCCAGCCCCCACCCCCACTTCCCCAGCCCCCACCCCCACTCCCCCATCCCTCCACCCCATCACTCCATCCCTCCTTCCCCCATCTCCCATTCCCCTATCCTCCTATCCCCCATCCCCATCCCTCTATCCTCCCATCCCCTTTCCCCATCCTCCCATCCCCCATCTCCCACCCCCATCCCCCACTCCCATTCCCCACTCCTATCTCTCCATCCCCCCATCCCCCCATTCCCCCCAGCCTTCAGCCCCCCCCACCTCCCCAGCCCCCCCAACCCCCAGCCCCCCCATCCCATGCCTGCAGCGAAAACAGCCCCTGCTCAGATGGACCCCAGGACCGGCCCACGGACCGCAGCTTTCAGTCACAGTCAACTCCCGCCCTGGACGTCACAGAAAGGAGCAGAGAAGGCGGCCAGGTACCGCCCGGACTGGAGAACTCCCAGACCCATGGCTGCCCAGCACTCTGGCCAGCAAGCAGTGCTGCAGGTCAGCCCACAGCCAGCTCCAGGACCAGCGGGTATCCTGCACGGGACCCCCGACGGGAGACCCGCACTGCCAGTGACCCCCAGAGCCTGTCCCAGAAGCTCTCCATCCCGCCCAAGAAGGACGAAGAGGCCCTGGTCCTGCTCTCCCCCCTCACCCCTCATGCCCCCGCCCCACCCCCACCCCCTGTTGACTTCTAGTGGGGGGCTGCCAGGCCCCATACCGGGTGGGCGCTGGGCCGCAGTGCCCTCCGCAGACCTGGCCACCTGTAGGGAAATGCGGCCTGTTTGGAAGCAACACAAACTTTTTGTGTTCCACTGGGAGCACCCCCTCCCGAAGCCCACCTTCCCCGGAGGCCTGAAGCCACTCCCACAGCCCCCCACAGCCCCCCACAGCAGACAGGTCTAATCAGCAACTGTGGGCAGACAGAGGAGCACGCACACACAAGACACAATCCAAGCACCATACCCTGGCAGAGGGAACCCACTCGGGACCCAAGGGAAAACAAAATCCCACTCCTTCCGAAGGTCACCTCCATCCTGGAAGTCTGAATGGAATCTTCCCAGCCCCCGCTGTAGACTGCACCAAGCTCCTTTCAGCTACCTTGGGGCCGAACATCCACAAGGAGCTTTCTGGCCTAAGCACCCAGAGTGCCCGAGACAAAGTGAGGGCTGCCACCCATGGGGCATGAACAAGCCAAACTCCGCAGTCCCGACACTCCCTGAATCCCAACGAAAGATTACAAGATTCATGAACAGACAAGATAAACCAAATCCAAAAGCCAACAACAATTCAGGGAAGGACCCCAGTGAAAGTGAAGAAGAAAGGAAGGACAATGAACCATTAAAGAATGATGGCAATGCAATGCCAATGAAATAAAAGGGGGAGAGGCAAAAGTAATTACAAGACTACAGAGAAGAAATGACTAAGAAGATCCAGACCTCCCCAAAAGATATGGAGATACAAACAAATGCTATACAACTCAATAAAAGATGAATAACATTATGAGAACTGATCTCAACAAAGAACGCAGAAGCACCAATGGTTCAATTTCCACAATACAAACCACAGTGGAATCCATAGGTAACAGAATAAGTGAATTGGAAAATTGACTATCAGGAGTCAAGGATAAAACAGAGGTGCTAGACTTTTTGTTCTAGCTTTGTTTGTGCTAGAACAAAAACTCAAAGGTACGGATAAAACACCCACAACTTACCAAGGAGAAATCCTAGAATTGGCAGACTCAGCTAAGAAATCAAATCTATGCATAATTGGGATTGATGAGGGGCAAGAATTTGAAAATCTATTCAGTAAAATAGTAACTAAGAATTTCCCCACTTGTAAGAAAAATCTCACCCACCTAACAGAAATACATAGAAACCCTAGTAGACAGGATCCAAGAAGAAACACTTCTAGACACATCATAGTAAAAACATTAGATCAATTGATTTTAAATGCTGCAAAATCAAAGAAGGAGCTATATTACAATGGAAAGAAAATCAGAATCACTTCAGACCTCTCCACACAAACTCTTAATGAAAGGTGAGCCTGGAATGGTATAATCCCAACCCTGAAGATCAACAGCTGCCAATCCAAACTGGTGTACTTCATAGTAAAACCAAAACCTTCCATGACAAACAAAAATTAAAGGAATTCATGAACACTAAGCCAGCATTACAAAGAATACTAAAGGGAAGAGCAGAATCTGAAGAAAACAATCAAAATCAAGGAAACACATCAGACAAAAATCACTAGAAAACCAATTTAGTAAGCACAGAAAGATGAAATAAGCAAAATACAAGAAATCAAAAAATGGCAGGAAACATGACATATCTCTCTATAGTAGCCTAAACATTAATGGTCTCAATTCCCCAATCAAAGAAAAAGAACAGCAGATTGGATCCAAAAACCAAGATCCATACCTTTATTGTCTCCAAGAGACAGAACTCACAGTCAAAGATAAAAACAAACTCCATGTAAAGGGATGGAAAAAAATCTTACACACAAATGCACCCTGCAAGAAAGCAGGAGTAGCCATTGTGATATCTGATAAAATAGACTTCTCATTAAAATCAGTATGAAGAGACAAGAAAGGTTATTATATTAATAAAGGGAATGATACATAAAGAGGAAATCCCAGTGGTCAATATTTATGTAGCAAATAATGGAGCACCTAAATACATTAAACAAATACTCTCGGACTTACAGAACAAGATAGACCCAAACACAATGATAGTGGGAGATTTTAACACCCCACTCTCACCAAAGGACAGGTCAACCAAACAAAAGATAAGCAAAGAAGCCTTTGAACCACATGATACCATAACCCAAATGGTCTAAACAGAGATCTACAGAGTATTCCACCCAAAAACGACCCAATTCACATTCTTCTCAGCAGCCCACGAAACATTCTCCAAAATTGACTATATCATAGTTCACACAAAGAGCCTAAGCAAATACAAGAGGATGGGCATAATCCCTTGCATCCTATCCAACCACAGTGGAATTAAACTAGTTCTCAACAAGAAAACATATTGCAGAAATTAGTCAAATAAATGGAGACTGAACAGCACACTACTGAATAACACCTGGGTCACAGAAGAAATTAAGGAAGAAATTCTTACAACTCAATGAAAATGAAAATATATCACAACTGAACATCTGGGATACAGCAAAGGCAGTACTGAGGGGAAAGTTCATAGCCTAAGCACACATATAAAGAAACAGAAACAGCTCAAGTAAATAACCTCATGATGCAATTAAAACTGCTAGGAAAACAAGAAAAAAAATCAAGTCTAAAACAACTAGATGGAGAGAGATTGCAAAGATTAGGGCAGAAATCAATGAAATAGAAATAAAAATATACATAAAATCAATGAAACTAAAAGCTGGCTTTTTAAAAAAAATTAATAAAATTGACAGACCACTTGTGAGATTAATGAAAAAAGAAGAGAGGAAATTCAAATCAACAAGATCAGAGATGCCACAGGAAACATTACAACAGCCAAGAAATCCAAATGAGTATAAAAGACTACTTTCAAACCTACTATACTCACTAAAGAAGGAAAACCTAGCAGAAATGGACACATTTCTAGAAGCATCAAACTGCCTAAACTGAACCAAGATGATATTAACCAGCTAAACAAACCAAAAACACACAATGAGATAGTGGAAATAATTGAAAGTCTTCCAACAAGGAAAAAAGCCCAGGCCCAGATAGATTCACCACTGAATTCTATAAGACTTCTAAATATGAACTAATACCAATACTCCTCAAGCTTTTTCATGAAATAGAAGCAGAGGGAGAATCCCAAACTTGTTCTATAAAGCTAATATCACACTCATCCCAAAACCTGGTAAGGATCAAAAAAAAAAAAACAGAGAGAGAACTACAGACAAATTTCTCTGATGAACACAGATGCAAAGCTCCTCAATAAAATATTAGCCAACAGAATCGAGAAACAAACTTAAAAAATCATACAGTATGACCAACTAGGCTTCATCCCACAGATGCAGGGCTGGTTTAACATACATAAATCAATAAATGTAATTCAACATGTCAACAAAGCAAGGTCAAGAACCACATGATCATTTCAATAGATGTAGAAAAAGACTTGGACAAAATATAACATCCATTCATGTTAAAAAGCTTTGGAGAGGGCTGGGAAGGTGGCTCAGTGTTAGAGTTCTTGCCTTGCATGCATGAGGCCCTGGGTTCGATTCCTCAGCACCACATAAGTGGATAAAGCCAGAAGTAGTACTATGGCTCAAGTGGTAGAGTGCTGGTCTTGAGCTGAAGAGCTGAGAGTTCAGGCCCCATGACTGACAAAAAAAAAAAAAAAGCTTTGGAGAAACTAGGAATAGAAGGAACATTCCTTAAAACAATAAAATCCATATCCAACAGACTAACAGCCAATATCATACTAAGTGGGGAAAAACTAAAACCATTTCCCCTAAAATCAGGAGCAAGGCAAGGATACCCACTCTCTCCTCTTCAGTATAGTCCTGGAATTCTTAGCCAGAACAAAAAGGCAAGAAACAACATTAAAGGGATTTGCATAGGGAAAAAGGAAAATAAACTGTTCCTATTTGCAGATGACATGATCTTATACCTAAAAGACCCAAAAAACTCCACCCCCAAACTCCTAGAACTAATTAATCACTTCAGCAAAGTAGCAGGATACAAAATTAGCCCACAAAAATCAGTAGCCTTTCTGTTTGCCAACAATGTACAAGCAGAATGGGAAATCATGAATATAACTCCATTTGCAATAGCCTCAAAAAAATACCCTAGGAATTAACCTAACCAAAGACTTAAAAGGTCTTTATAGTAAAAACTATAAAAATCTAAAGGAAGAAATCAAAGAGGACACTGGGAAATGGAAAGACTTTCCATGTTCATGGATAGGTAGAATCAATAGTGTGAAAATGGCCATACTGCCAAAAATGATATCCAAGTCAATGAAATCCCATCAAAACCTCATACCAAGATAGAGAAAACAAACCAAATACTCATATGGAACAACAAAAGATCAAGAATAGCCAAAGCAATTCTAACTAAAAACAATGTAGGCAATATGACCATAGCAGATTTCAAGCTCAACTACAAACCCATAAGAACAAAAACAGCTTGGTGTTGGTACAAAAATAGACCCCAGAATCAATGGATCAGATTAGAAGGCCCAGAAATTAAGCCACATTCTTACAGTCATCTGATATTTGGCAAAGAAACCAAAGACATGCAGTGGAAAAAACAGGCTCTTCAACTATTGGTGCTGGCAAAAGTGGATAAAACTAAAAGTAGATCCCTGCTTGTTCCCATGCACCAACCTCAATTCAAAGCAGATGAAAGACCTCAACATCAGACCCCAAACTCTGATACTACTGCAAGAGAGAGTAAGAGACATTATAACTTACAAGTACAGGCAGGAACTTCTTGCATAGAATCCAAGGGGCACAACAGATAGTAGTGAGACTTGACAAATGGGACCACATTAAAATAAAAAGTTTCTGCACAGCTAAGGACATAGTTAGTAAATGAGAAATACAACCAACCAATTGGGAAAAGATCTTTACCAACAATACATCAGACAAAGACCTAATATCAAATATACACAAGGAGTTCAAGAAACTAACCCTACCTGAACTTAACACACCAATTACTAAATGGACAAGGAAGATAAGAACAGACTTTTCAGAA